GGGCATTTCGAGTCCTAACTGGTCAACTAGATATCCGGTTAACTGGAACTGATGCATACCTAGTTTTTTACGTCATATCATTAATATACATAAACGATGCTATTTATAGTCGTAGCATTTAGAATACGTGATCATGGTTATATTAAGAAATCGTGAAGTAATTGAATATGCATTTAAAAAATCTGCTCCTTCATACGAATCTATATTTCTTCACTATACTTGGAACTAGAGATATGAAAATTTAAGGTAATATTCATCTATGTGTTAGGCATTAGATGGCCAATTTTGAACACGTTTGGATTTATAATAAGGGAGAAAAAACAATTTTTGAAAAACTGGCAAAAAATTGTGGCTCAATCTTTAGCAGATACTGATTGTCATCTGCTATATTTAATCATGTTTCATCAATTTTAATTATTTTTTAAGAAATAAGATCATTTTTCGAAGCTTCTATCCACCGCATAACTCTTCTTCCAGTACATTAGAATGAATAAAAAAACTATAATCAAAATACATATCACTTGGCTTCCAATAGTCCACATTTGATCTGACTCTTCAATCGAAAAATCAACAAAAGGATTTCATCAAGTACCAAAACAAATTGAATGGCGTTCATAGAGATAAAAATTGTTCATACATAGATACATGTTTATATTCTTTCGTTCTATTTATTCTCTGTAATGCATTTGTTCATCATAAAATGAAACGTGATAGATAAATGTTTATATTCTTCTTTTTTCTCTTTCTCCATAAACAGGAATAATTTCTCTATCAATTAGTTCAATTGTCCACGACGGTCAGTCTGATGCTAATACGGAAACTAACAACAACGGCAAGCACAATTCGTGCGTACGTAAAATCAAATCGAGCAATCCTACTTATATTAGTCATGATCTACAAGACTGGTGCGATGTAAGAACATTCTGTTTCTTAGTTGATTTTTTTTATCGATTCAAATGGATAAATCCTGCTGAGTATCATAATTAGGATGAAACTCATTTTCCTATATATAGTTCAATACACGAATTAGAAAACGCATGTATGGTCGTATTATTTGAGAATGCAACACTGCGTCTCGACAAAGTGTATTTATGGTATGATTCGTATTCTTAAAAGTTTTTATGTACTAAATACCTATTGAAGTCCGTACAAAGTGATAAATGTTTTTATTGAATCCAAAGCTTAGCCAGCTGAATACATCAGCTGTTCTTTTTTTTAATCAATTAACAGTCGATAAGTAAAATTGTCAATTTTGTTCACTTGCTCATTATAATAAACTTCACCAATTTTGTTATTCTTCAATCACAATTCAGTTAGAAAATGTTCTCGTTCATAAGCCTCATACTGTTTTCGTTCTCAAAATGAAGATCTATACTTGCGTTATATTATTGATGCAGTTGTGTTTCAATCTGTTCGTGATAAAAATGCTAACCCAATGTTTATACTAACAATGAACGTGGACGTCTTTCAACTTTCTAAAGATGCTTGAATAATGATCTGTTTCATCGTTTTGATTGTTAATGTGCTTCCTTTGCATCTGTGATTTGCGCTTGAAAATATAATACTTGCTAACCCTTAAAGTGACCATACGGTACAATTATTCAAGTATATTAAACAAGTTGTACATGTTTATTATATCGCTGCATTTTATAATAAATCTGCTCAGAATATAGTTCAATGTATTATGGAGACGACTGGCACTTTCGGATGCGGATGTTGTAAAATTAAAGGTTCTAGAGCTTTATCAATATTTTATATTTACATATTGCTGTTTCGATAGGCTATATGGTTTCGATGGACACAAATGACCATGTTTAAAGTATTTGAACGATCAGCACAATGTTAACAATAATTACTCAGGTTGTAACAAATTTTATGATGTTTTGATAGACTTGTTTAAATTACAGAGGAAATTGGAGATTTTGAACTACGTAAAAATCAATTGTTGGATACTTTGGCCGATAAGTGGAATCAAAAAGAGATTATGAGGGTTGTATTATTTTCATGTTGGCTATTCTTTTATAGCAGATAGTTTACACAATATATATAGTGGAGCTTTCGTAAGAAAAAAACTAGTTCATATTGTGAAAAAAAAATTTAGCAATGTTTTTTTATGACAAACTTTCAGACCTTGTGATCATCATGCATCTGTTTGAAAGACGAGAAAGTCATCATGTCTTAATACAGTTTCGTCACCTCTTCTCAAAAAGAAAAAATTGTACACTGATCAATACTATGTGCAAGTTGTTTATTCGGTCATACATATTGCCGATATAGTAAGAGACTCTGAACCTCTAACTAATTTTACCACTGTCCAGTTTGGAAATAACTTAGGCAAGTATATATTATTGGCACTTTGTGAAAAACGTTCTAATTTTATACAATAGGTATGCTTGCAAGAGCTACAAAGAATGCATGAAATCACAAAAATAAGAAGTAATCAATTTTTTAAACTTATTTCAACATGCACTAAGTCATTCTCTGGATCCATCCTATTAATAGAAATGTTTCAACTTTCCTTTCGTCGTTTCTTATAGTTATTCTGCTTGTCCTCTACATGACGAAAATTTAAAACTTCGACATAAATACAAGAAAGAAGATTCTACTGTTCGCCGTCCTTTGCCTTATTCAAATGCTGCTTTTATAACACATCACACATCGATTACCTTCGTTTCTCTATACAATCGTACTCACATGAAAAAACTACTAATGATTCAGATATAATTTTGCTTTTAAATAAAATCAAGAGCATCAGGCATATCCATCCAATTTTTACGATTGATTATGGGGAGCTTGTTATCTCCTTTGCTCATTTAGTGGATACCTCATCATGGATCTGTCCACTGAACGAATCTGCAAAATCTCAATACTTCAGTATACACAACTTTACTAACAAATTGGTGTTTTGTTGTCATTAAAATCAAAGACTTCATAGAAAAGATGGTGTTGTTTGAAAGCTCAGCTTGCCGCTGCCATTTTTTCCGTTTTTCTAAAATCTTTTTCATAGTTCATACATTTTTCTTTCCTTTTACTATGTTATGAGTTATTGTCTGATTCAAAATAAAAGATAAAATGGTCATTCTTTGAATAATTTTCGATTGGAACAAAGATAAAACCTGCAGTGTTCACTGTTCGATAGAGGTGTCCCAATTATCGATCTGTATAAAATTCATTAGAGCGAAATATGCTTTGCTTATGTATGCTTTTGTCTCGACACTTTTTTCTTTACGTACTGTCATCAATCTGCATAATAATCTCAATTCAAATTATATCAAAATGTAGCTCAAATCACTCTTTTTTTCGCTATAAAAGCATCACATTTTTTTGTAAACCTGCTTGACATAAGAACTTCTGTGGGAATCAAATATGTGATACTTGTATAGCGAAAAAAAAAGTGATTTGAGTTACATTTTGATATATTTTGAATTGATATTATTATGAAGATTGATGACAATACGCAAAGAAAAGTGTCGAGCCAAAAGCATACTTAAGCAAATCATATTTCGCTCTAATAAATTTTATACAATTGATACCTGGGACATTACTCTCTTGAACGGTGAAAACTGCAGGTTTCTATCTTTGTTCCAATCAAAAGTTCTTCAAAAATAACACTTCATGTTTTACTTTGAATTAGTTAATAGTTTTCTTAAGAGTACATATATCAACTAATGACGGCTTTTTGTTTATTCTGAACGATGGTATCGGTATGGAATATTAATCGTGATTATCGTAACAGTGTGCATACGTGCTGTCCTAAATAAACGATAATTATGTATTATAATGTTTTAGAGAAACATTATCTTCTTAAAATGATTCTATTCAATCTCGGAACTGCACATAATTCTTCATTAGAGTATCGATTTTCCTGCAAAAAAAGTTCTTCAGCTAACAAAAACTAAATTCCTCCATAAGAATGAATGCTTGATGGTCATCTGTAAATCACCCGTATAAGATATTACATAATTCATGTTTTTTACATAAATAACCAAAGTTCGATTTCAAAACTTTTATTAAGAGAAAAATAAATATATAATCTGTAATATTTCAATTCATAGAAAATTCTTTTTGGTATGCGTTATACAAACATCAATAACTCGTTTCCTTTTGTCTAAGTGAAAAGAACACAAACAGAAAATCAATTGATACACCTGCTCCGAAGGCCCTAAAAAACATATAATTGGATTATAAAAGTATGAGAGGCAAGCAGGCATCGTACGAGGTTTCCCAAGCTTGGAGAGTGTACAAATACATATCTCATAGAGACAGTGTAGAATTCCAAAAAATTCTTCTCGTCTTATTGAGGAATAATGAATTATTGGAGGACTGTCCATCTCTTTCCACACTTTCATTGGACATGGAAGCAGTTATCTTCTGTAAGAAGACAACCAAGATAATACTGAAGTCTTTTATTCATTAATACGCAATTTCGTAAAAGATCTATTGTATATGTATTTACATGATTTCTAACCGTACTTTCTATTAGAAAGTTTTTTCCTTAACAAATATTATCTTTGATAAACGAGTGCATGCATGTTAAAAAAAATATTCAGGCATCTTCCATGGAACTACTCTATAGAGTAAGTTGTTAAATCAAACGACATAAAAGAATACAAAGCACAATTTATTGAACTATATAGAAAACAAGATGCCATATTAATCCATCACATATAATTGCTTACAGCAAACAAACAAATGAATATGCACAAAAAATATAATGGCGTGAGCATTAATTGAATTAAATTGGAATATTATCATACATTGTCATGTTAATTATGATATGAGTTTTCAACTCAACTCTACATAAACTCATGCCTCTAGTTGTTAATATTATTTGATGTAAGCATTATTTATTGCATGAAAAAATTTTTTCTCGAACGCCACACTAACAATTATTCTTTCATTCCTTCATCCACCTCAAAGCACATATAAATAAAAAGACGAGAGCATATAACATTTTTCACTTACACACGCATTATACATAGACATCAACTATTAGTAGCATGCAACTTTATTACTATGCTTTATGGATGCTAACTTTCAGCGTTGTTTTGATCAAGTAAGTTCAATTTTATAAAATATGTTTGAATTTTATTTTTTAAACTGATTCTAGTTCGCGATTTATATCTCGACCTATCGACAATGAACAAAACGAAGATATATATGATCCAAATGGTTTCTATTTTGATTATATTTATCGACCTAATAGTCTTGCACCATATTTAAATAATCTTGCTTTAGCAATGCATGATGGTAAATTAAATGATGGTGGAATAGTATTCGAGCGGTCAACAAAGTCAATTAGAAAAGGCGATCCACGCGAATTTATGGGATAAATATTATTTGTGTATTGTATACCAACTTTACATATTGAAATGAATAATATTTCCTGATTCTAATAAAAATTATATAGATAAAAAAACGAATACTTGAAATTTTATCATATTGAAATTAGTCTAATAAACAAGAAATATTTGTTCACAGCAAGTGATGGATACACATGAGATTTTTATTCATATCAAAAACATTCATTTTAATAATTTTTCTAGCATAAAATAGTCAAACTGATTGAGTCATACACAGTGTTTCATCATTTCTATTCTTCTTATTTTTAAAACCAAGATTCATGTTATTTCGTATTATTTCTCGAATTATTAACAGCAACATAAGTTTTTTTTTTATATATTTGAGACATGTCTAAGTAGCATCTCTAAATAATCAATCTGGAAGAAAATCATAAAAATAACCTCGCCAACTTTTATCCGTCGATAATATTAAAGACATTTTTTCAAACATCATTAATTCTAGTACGACTTAAAGAAAACATGTTCAAGATGTATTACGACGAAATTACGTCTTGATTTATTGATGGTCTCTTCCGCTTCGGATATGACTATAATATACTAAATATTCAACAGTAGAGAATGTCTTAAAACTTTGATCGGAAAATTTGCATGAATAAATCTTTAATAGATTCAACAATTAATGAATGTCATAGATAACATGAGAATTTTGTTCAGTTTGGAATACATAAATGAATTTTTAAAAATATTCTCTTAGGAAAAGATTTATAATTGGAATAAAGTTCTATAAACACGATGAACTACTTGATTTAGACAAGTGCTCATTAGATAATATCAAGTTAAACAAAATAAATAAAAAATTTTTGTTTTTTGTTTTTACTGAAGAAAAACAAACGATTCTCGTAGTGTATACATTTCACTGTTTTTGATTGTTCTATTTTATTTGTTGTTCGTTAGAAATAGAGATCTAGAGAATTCTTTATTTTTGGAACCATTTCTGAATCTTATTTCGATAGACGTTAGATTAAGAGGATTTTGATTGTCTTTTTATTCGATAAAACTTATCGTATGTTTCCTTTCTATTTTGATAATATTCACATAATTAGCCAGACTAACAGAAATAAAAGTTTAATTGATGTTTTATCAAAAAGTTCCATGCAAAATTTACGAAGAATGATAATCCGTCATAGACTATCATTTATACTACTTAAACAACACGTTTGACTGTCAATTTCACTCATGTCTACAAACATATATTATGTTTTAATATCATAATAATCAAATACAATAAACAATATTATTTCATGTATCTATTAATTGTTGAAATTTCACTAATCATGTACTCTTTTAGAAATCAAAAGAAAAATTATTATTTTTTATAAATACAAAAACAATCTAAAAATACCTCTATTATCAAGTAAACTCCAAAATACAATTAAATTATATTAACAATTAACAAGATTTTTGTTTGTTTCTATATTCAGTACATCTTTCATTAAAAAACATTATTCTAATCTCAACTAAATTTTGAACTCCCTGGTCAAGTATGTATTTTTAAGGAATATCTTAGTATGTTCTCTACAATTTTGTTCTGTCGATTTTCAGATAGATATCTATGTTTATTAAATATTAAATAGGAATAGTTTGTGTTAATAGCCTAATTTCAGTCACCTATTGTCGTGAAAAGACAATTACCTGTCACATCCCACATACAAGCACTAGATATATGTTGTACTAGAAATGCTTTTTCTATACTTTAGGGAAATCATTATACTACTGAATGTATAACAGCGTCAAAGATTTTTAAGAATTACAGAAGAAAAAAATCGATGAAGTTCATAATGCTCTCAAAAATGTGCCACTACTGAGTATACGATTTTTTTGCAACAGTCTCAATTATGACTGAATATTTTCCAATGAGATCACTTCAAGTGCAGTGTATCCGACAATTTCACGAAGAAGATTCACAAGATTAAGTGGAAATTACATCACATTGATATCAATATTAGAAATTATTAATAATCAAGAAAATTCTTGTTTTTTTTCGGACAAAAAATGAAAACTTATGTGTATAAGACACATAATGGCCTTCAACGTGATCTAACCAGAAGATGATAATATTTTGTGTGCATCTCAATAACTAGACGAGCCAGAATTATCTTATTTTCATCAGATTACAACCCATTTTGTCTCTAATATTCGAATAAAAACAGTTCAGTTCAATCCATTGATCTGTTTCGTTTTTATTGCCGATACAATCATAGTATGTCGTTTTTCTTTCTTCCAAAATGATTCAATTAGTTATTGTTATAAACTATTGTGAGTGTATTGTAACTAAATTGACATTTTCTTTATGATACATGGTTCAATAACACACATTATACTCTACATAAAGAGCACTTTGTATTGTAGCTTTTCTTTGAGTAGGAGTTATAAAATCCATGTTTTGTTTTTCCATCGATAGTGGAAGCTTTGAATCAAAAGATGAGAAAAAAAACATTGGTAGTCATACGATGTTTAGCCAGTTTTATTGTGCAATATATGATTAGTAAAAGTAGTATAGATTATATGAATTATTCTATTTGAATGAATTTTTTATGTTGTAAAATTGTGTTGATTGTCTTCTATGTATACATAAATCCAAGAGAGACCATTTTGTATGATCTCATTCACTCATGGAAAGAAGCATGAAAAACTGTTTTTTGAAGGTTGAGTTCGTAAAGAATCTGTTTCCATAGAAAATTCTTATTTTTGAAACCAACAGCGATTGTATTATATAAATTAAATAGCTTTACTATAATTATACATGGTAAATATGAAAATTTCACAGTAGTTTCAACAATCGACTGAGTATATATTGCAGCAAACAAAATTGTACGAAATAAAGTTTAATATAGCACCTTGTTCTAAATTTCATTCTCTATGTATATTGATGTGACGTGTAGAACTTAATTATGTATTTAAATGAAGTCTATATTTCGACTGTTGGAAAAGCTACGGGAAACTTGATACACTTGCTATTTATAACGTAACATAGGTAAATTAGAATAATTCATATAATCTATACTAGTTTTGCTAATCATATATTGAACAATAAACCGCCACTATCGATGGAAAAACAAAACATGGATTTTATAACTCTTACTTAAAGAAAAGCTACAATACAAAGTACTCTTTATATAGAGTATAATGTGTGCTATTGAACCATGTATCATAAAGAAAATGTCAATTTAGTTAGAATACGCTCACAATAGTTTATAACAATAACTAATTGAATCATTTTGGAAGAAAGAAAAACGACATACTATAATTTTATCGACAATAAAAACGAATCAGATCAATAGATTGAACTGAACTGTTTTTATTCGAATACTAGAGACCAAATGGGTTGTAATCTGACGAAAATCAGATAATTCTGGCTCGTCTAGTTTTTGAGATGCACGCAAAATATTATCATCTTCTGGTTAGATCATGTTGACAGACACTTTAAATCAGGATTTGGTTGAATTCAAACTAAGAACTAATAACAGAAATACATTTTCTGCAGTGCTTGTTTTAAAGGTTTCGACAGAGACTCCTATTATGAAAAAGACAATTATATCACTTGAATTTTATGACAGATACTCAAACAAACTTTCTACAAGCACTTTTTAGACACCATGCATATATATATATATATGTCAGCGTCCAAACTGAGATTACGTCCAATCTCAGATTGGACTAGGCGAATGTCGGATCCGAGATTGGACGCGTCCAATCTCGGATTTACGCAATTCTGTTCATTAAAATATCAATTACACTTTAGACAGATCTTAGATTCGAACTTTTTTTTTTTGAGTTATGTTCATACAATGCCAGTTTGTTTGGCACAATTGTCATTTGGCAGATTTGAATAAAATTTTAGGAGTTATGAATAAATTTCTAGAGAATAATAACTTTTGTGAAAAACTTTTATTACATTTTTGAGTCTAAATATAGCTTCTTCCTAAATGCTTGTAATACTTAAAACGGCATTGTGTGAACATAATTTCAAAAAAAAGTTTGAATCCAAGGTCTGTCTAAAGTGTAATTGATATTTTAATGAACAGAATTGCGTGAATCCGAGATTGGACGCGTCCAATCTCGGATCCGACATTCGCCTAGGCCAATCTGAGATTGGACGTAATCTCAGTTTGGACGCTGACATATATATGTCAAGCTGTAGCAATGCAAGTACGTTATTCGCTGATGTCGTCTGTTTTTCATTGACAATAAGAAATGACTGTTGTTGTTAGAAGGGTCGATAATGCAAGCGATTTACTCCTTTCTTTTTTTGAAACAAACTTTCACTAATTTCTTTCTATCATATTGGTATTATCTGTCCTGAAAACGTTTGTTCCAGTTCAAAGAAGTCAATTCTAATATGCCGCAGCATATGATGTTAGGGAGTACTGTAAATTGTTTTTAATAATAGCTTGTTCTTCTAACTATTATGACTACTTGATGTCTTCATCTTTGACAGATACTCGAAGTCTGAAACTAAGCGAAAACAATTTTAAACATGCTTAATTAAAAATCAATGCAGTTTGACTAATATTTGACATTTTTCTAGGAGATTAAAAATATTCAATGAGTAGAAACTCGATGAATGGACGACTGTTCACTTTATATCACTATTGGAGCAATTAAATTTCACTGATATTCTCCTTATGATTACTTGTATTATACTGTAATAGTGGTTATTTTCAATATTCTGGAAAATATTTTGAGACATAAGATAGAGAACGTCACAGGGTGGGTTTCGTTTCCTATCTTGCATTTTGCAAAACGCTGTCACTCACTCATCCTATTATGTAGGGCAATGAATCTTCTTGCGTCCGACATGCACGATAATCGTTTCATTGCCTTTTTTTGACAAGGATATTGAATTTGTCTGCATATTAGGTATAATGTTAAATATCATAGACTTTCTTTCGATTCAAAAAACATTTACAATAATTATATAAATAAACTTTATCTTATGTTTTTCGTTAGAAATGAAATGAAAAAGAAAA